GGTCGGCGGCGGCGGGAAGATGCTGCAGTCCCTGGCCGGCAGCTCGTGCGTGCGCCTGGTGGAGCGGCACCGCTCGGCCTGGTGCTTCGGCTTCCTGGTGCTCGGCTACCTGCTCTACCTGGTCTTCGGCGCCGTGGTCTTCTCGTCGGTGGAGCTGCCCTACGAGGACCTGCTGCGCCAGGAGCTGCGCAAGCTGAAGCGGCGCTTCCTGGAGGAGCACGAGTGCCTGTCGGAGCCGCAGCTCGAGCAGTTCCTGGGCCGAGTGCTGGAGGCCAGCAACTACGGCGTGTCGGTGCTCAGCAACGCCTCGGGCAACTGGAACTGGGACTTCACCTCCGCGCTCTTCTTCGCCAGCACGGTGCTCTCCACGACAGGTAGGAGCCTGAGTCCCGCGGCCACTCGGCCCCCCGCGCTCCCGACCCCTCCAATCCGCCCTCCCCCCCCCCAACGCCGGCCACCCCGACCCCTCCCCGAGTCCCTCCTTTGGGGACTCGCCGAGGGCAGGCTCGGTGGAGCCGGAAGCCGGTGAAGTGGCCTCAGAACGTGACTTGGGTGTTACCGCCCGTAACTCTTGGGAACTGGTCCCTAAAGCCCTCGGCCTGGGTGGCTAGAGGGGATTCATGGGCTGCGCCCTTTATTCGCGGTACCCTACACCCAGGCGTCCGGTTCGAATCTACATAGTGCGGCGAGGCCCGGAGACGCACTCCCCATGCTCTTGAGTGCGTGCACATTCCTCCCGACCCCAACCCTCAGGCCCAGGTTGCAAAATCGAATGATAACGCGTTCAGGGGTCACCTTCCGGAGGGCATCAGTTTTGACGATGCGTAGGCCTTTCAGATCTTTTCTACCTTGGGGGCAGTTTTAGGGGTAGCCGAGTGACATCACTCTGCGCTTCGCTGGTGACCTCTGCGCGCACAGGCCGATCCGGTTTCTTTTCAGAGTAGGAGGAGGGGTGAGGGAAAGGAGCGTCCGGGTGCCTTTGATCTGGCCAAATGGGGTTACCCAGATAAAGCAGGTTTTTTTTCAACTTTAGGGGTGCGAGGCCACCCATAAACTTCGAAGCGCACTTCCATCGCACTATTCGCCCAGCAGGACGTGCACGAATGGAGAAGTGTCCTCGGGTGACCGGGGTGGCCCGCCCTGTGCCCCATAGCACCATTACTGTGCTAGACTAGATGAATGAAGACTGGATTTTCCCAGCGGCCAAATGAGGCACACGCACCCGGATGGAGATATTTATAAATTGGTGTGTGGACCCTGGAAAGTGTCTCAAAGAGAGGTCACCACAGTCTTTTGCATGAGGTTAGGCCTTTGAGCAGTTCCTCTTGGCTTGCACAAGATGACACACTTCCTCGTTCCCAGTGTAGTCCTGGAGTCTGAGCCTGTGAGTTACCTGCCAGGAACTCTTTGTAAGCCACCCCCTCACCTTTACCTTTACAAGTGAATGAATCAGCTTTGTTACTCCAACTCTTCCTGCACCCCACCCCTTTCCACCTCTGAGAGTTTGTTTTTAATCTCCTTGGGTTAAACCCAGTTGATTGTTTTGGTAATTATTTGGTAATGAGGAGTAGTACAGTATCCTCTTAGAGCCTATAAAACAATGGCTCAGAACTCTGGGATGAATTACCTGACTTGCTTTTATCCTGAAATGAACAGAAGCAGAAGTCTAGCTGGTATAGTGATATTTGTAAACTGTGTTAAACGTAGCCCTAAACAACACAAACCTGTGTTAAACGTAGCCCTAAACAACACAAATCTGACTTTTCAGCTTGGCCAACACTATTTAGTATTCATTCTACCAGCCCTGCTTCCGTGGTCTGTATGGCACTCTGGTCCTCAGGTCTGCACTCAGGAGGCACCCAGCCTTTCCTTTGGAGCATGTTTGTGCTGAATGGGGGACCACTCATTCTCTGCAGGAGTGTTTCCACCGGGCCACAGGAAGTCCCTGACTGGGTCACAGTGTTGGAGAAACATTGTGAAGAATGATGATCACTTTTAGTACTTTCTAAGTAATGCTGTTATAAAGATAGACCAGAGTGAGAGCAATGGTATGAGGAAAAGGACATGTTTGCTGTTTCTGAGTGGGATTTCCCATCACTGATGCAGCTTCTAGAACCTCAACACCACATGTACCTAATTAAATGTCAAAAATATGAGTTTACATCTTGAATAGACAATTATTTCCCAGATTCCCCCCTCCCTTTTTTTTTAAATTGGAAAAACTGCAGTTCCTGTTTTTTACAAAAATGGGGATAGATGTCTTATTATTGGTATTCAGATTGCATTGTAGTCCCTGAGAAAGTCGGTATTCATGAAAACAAGAGTTCATTTAGGAAGTCAGTGCAAGGGGCACTTAAGGATAAACTAGAGGAAAAGGTGCCTCTTGGTTTGTAAAAATAGCAAATCAGTGAATTTTTGTCATTGATAGAATTGAATTTATTAATTCAAATAGAATTCTAACAGAATTTAGAATTCTATCCCAAATCAAAAATACTCTTCTGTTAGTTTTGTACTGACCCCATTATCTGACACATTTGGTGTTCCATGTGGGATCAAAACACTGGTTTTGTGACAGAATCAGCCAATTTTTAGAGTAAAGCTTGTGTACTTCATTACTAGAAAAATGTTTTCTGGAAAAGTACCAGACAACTCAGATTAATTGGAACTGTGGTTTATGCTTCTTTCTCTGGTAGATATTAGACAGGCTGTAAGTTTTATAAAAAAACTTTTAGCTCTGTCGATAGCAAATCACTGAGATAATTGTCACCCAGTCAGTCAGTACGGTCAACCCCTGGCTTGTCCAGAGTAGAGACACTGGGCGTTACTAAGGTGCTGTCCTTGGTGGTCATCCTTGTTGTACAGGAGCATGAACATATCATGTCAGGATCTTGACAGGACCACCAAAGTACAAACCTCCATTTCTGGAAGGAACTGGGTAAAGTCTTCATGGTGTATTTGGAAGCAGCCTTAGGCTGGTAATTTAGCCATGTCCTCTGTATTCTCTGCTCTGTGGAAGATGCTGAATTATTTCCAGCAAACAGTTTAACCTCTCTTTACTTCTTGATTAGAAAAGATAAGGCGACATCTATATAGGACTCATACGGGTAGAAGACAGAGTGAAACCCTGTCTTTTACCCTTTCAGAGGGAAGGGCTGTATAAAAATAAGACGAAGTATTATGAATTGAAGTATTTCCCACATAACTTTTATACTGTGATTTTTTTTTTTTGAGGATTAAGGAAATAATGTCTAGGTGGCACATGGGGAGTAAGAAATAATTTTTATTAAAGTTGTGTTTAGTAGCCATATAAAACTTGGAGCGATCTCATTCATTCATAAGAACAGTTTGTCATGTCAATTGGCTCTTCTTTATTCATCCCCTGAACAAGGCTATATCATGATGATGAACATGTGGTAAAAATACAGTTTTTATGTGCATTTGAAAATAAAGCTGCCACTACCTTTTGCTGCTTCGTAAGTGTGGGGTCCCCAAGATAGCTCAGGCCCGTTTCTGTCATGTGGAGGCCTGGTACCTTTCCTCAGGGTATTGCCTATTCCTGTTTATGAAGAGATGTTTTGAAACTCTTATTTAAAGTGCTCAGAAAAGGATTTTAATTCTTGTCTTACACTGGCCTTTGATTTTCAGGTAGGGAGCTCCATGTTGGTAGTTTTCAAAAAGAGAAAGCAGGTAACGGGTGCTGGGTTGATCCTTGGTTCTCAAATTGTTTTCAGTAGGAGAAATAAGTTCTTACCAATAACAAATACTTATTGAACTTTAGAATAGAATATAGGTGGGCAAACTGTGGCCCCGGGCCAAATCCGACCCATCACCTGTTTTTGTGTGGCCCTAGCTAACACTGGTTTTTGTGTCTTCAAATGGCTGAAAAAAAATATCTAAAGAAAAATAATATTTACTGACACATTAAACTTTATGTAAATCAAATGTCAGTGTCCACAAAAAATGTTCTTGCTGTACAGCCCCACCCATTTGTTTCTGTATCCTTGATGGTGGCTTTCTAGCTACAATGGCAGAGTTGAGTAGTTGTGACAGAGACCACATGGCGGCAGAACCTAAAATAATCACTGTCGCGCCTTTTGCAGAAAAAGTTTGCTGGCTCCAGCTTTAGAATGATTCTTGGAAGGAACGCTAAGTCAGAGGCGTTCTAAGTGCTTCCTTTTGGAAAACTTTCTAGAAGACTGTTTAGCTTCTCAGACTTATTTGTGCTGCTTTACAAGTGGTGTGCACGGCCAGCCACAACCACCCCCAGAGCAAGTGACTGTTACAGGATGTCACTAGTGTGGGGTCAGCTTGATGACACTGCCTTGTTTTAAAGCGGTGACAAAGCTACCCTTTACGTTGGCATTGCCTTATCTGAAATGGGTGGTAAATACTGTATTTTCTCTGGGGCAGAAATGACATCAAGAAAAGAAATCCTCCAAAAACAAACAAGCAAACTCTGTCAGCCAGAAGAGAGATCTTGTTGTCGGAGAGTGGGCCCTTCTCTGTGCAAAGTCCAGGTCCTTGGCAACTTGTGCAAAGAATTGCACGAGAAGTCGGAGTCAAGTACTGAAAAAGTAGTTTATTCGAAGAGATAGTACATTTCAAAGAGTAGAAGTAGGCCGAGCAGTAGAGAACGGCTCAAGGGCCCATTATTAGAAGAGAAATTACATTACAACGAGTTTGGAGAGGCTCAGAAGGCTCAAAAAAGGGAGGAAGTGGTCAAAAAGGGGGAAGGCATCCAAAAAGGCTGGACTTCCCAGGACTTGGAGTTTTTATCCCTTCTCTAGAATGGGCTGTTCCCTAAGGGCGGGGGACCACTTGATTGGCACCTGTGATTGACAGGATGTACCGCACATACCGCACAAGTGCGAGTGACTGGTCTGATCTAGTTGGGTATTTTCTGCCCATTTGTTTTCCCATAGGAGTAGGTAATTACAATACAAAGGGGGAGTTTGGGGTGTAGAGGGGATGTCCCCTTGGTGGTAGCACTGTGTGGTACGTGCAGGAATGCAGAGACCCGATGTCTGCCTCTAACTGCCTGCCTAGCCTTCCCCTTGAGAGACGTGATCCCCGTGAAATCTCTATGGGAAGCTGAGGGACAGGAGGCCTCTTCTTCTGTATCTGCTTCCTGTTGGGCAGGGGCGTAGCACTGTCCCTGCCTATTGGGGGATTCACGGAACTCTCACCCTAGCTGATCTCAGATGAGAGGAAGGGGTCTCGAGCTCCGCCTGGAAGATCGCGTTGGCGTCTTTGGTTGTGACTGGCAATCTTGTTGGGGTATCCTCTGTGTCCCCAAGGTCCCTGAATGAGGAAAAATAGATTTTTTAAAAAAGATTTTTATTGGGGAATTGGGGGTATGGGAACAGTGCTGGGG